TTTCCTTTAACGGTTGAATTTTTGGGTCAATTGGTTTATTTAATATAGGGTGTCCAAAGGTGTGTTTAGCACAAACCTGAATACTGCGAATAGAAATAAACAAGTTACATATATATAAAGTTTATTTAAATATAATCACCATTGGATTCAATCACGCGTTCGCAGCGATCGATCCAGGCTTGAAAGACACGCTTTAAATCATCATGAGAAAATTGCTCAAATTGCTCTCTTACAAAATTTTCAAGATCATCTGGACTCACGAATTCGCGTCCTTCAGCTCTTTTTTAGCGTGCCGAATAAATAAAAGTCAGAGGGTGCAATATCAGGTGAATAAATTGGGTTTGGAACAACTTTGACATTGTTTTCCAACAAGTAATTCATTACCTTATGACTTTTGTGAACTCTTGAATTATCAAAATGAATTGCAAACTTTTGTTTTTGTTGTTTGGATTTCTCAAACTCATCAGAATTGATAATTTGAGTAAGAACATTGTCAATTAGATACTGAGCATTCATCGTATTAGGTTTTTGAAGGATATCAATTGCGATGATGCCATTCACGCCCCAAAAAACCGACAACATCATCATTGGTGTGTCAATTTTTTTCTTCGGGAATGTTTGCGGATTTTCATCCTTCGGGATCCACATGATTTTGGCTTCTGTTGCATATTGAAACCAAGACTCGTCCCCTGTTACTAAAAAGCGAAACTTCTTGGATTGATACGCACCCAATATAGAGAGGAGCTCTTTCGAAGATTGGACTCTAGATTTTTTTTGAACTGAATTAAGGTTGTGCGGAACCCAACGTGTATACGCTAGTTTGTAGTTCAAATAATTGTGCAGATAATAACTGACTGTTGTACGTGGTATCTTTGTCATCTCCTCTATCCTTCTGAGTGATGCTCCTGGGTCTTCATCTAGCGCTTGAAGAATTGCTTTGATTTTTCTTTGATCCGGCGATTTTTTGTCAATTTTTATGATGGGCGCCTTTTTGTTCATGAAGTGATACATCCTAACATGATACGTTACAGTGGAATAGCTAGGAGCATCCATACCGAAGCATTTTACCAATGTCTCGTAGATTTTTTTACAGTCTTTGCATTTTTTTGCAAGAGCGAGGATGTTTTCTTTATGATTCATTAAAAAAATGAAAAAAATCCCGCCAAAATTTCCCGCGAAACCGCCTCTTGTCTCAAAATTCATTTTATATCCCGGCATGGCGCCAAAATACAACATACTCATCATATACATATATTCATATTTTTTATTATATATTTATAATCAGCATATATCTCCTTTAATAGTCTCATATAGAGCGCTGTGCTAAACGCACCTTTGGACACCCTATATCTTGAAATCCTTTTTAAAATCTTTTTGCTTCTTTAATGTTTGAAATGGATATAATAAAGTGAATGATGAAGGATTAACTGAAGGAGGAGGAGGTACTACTGTTGGAGGTTTTGGGGTTGCAAGTGGTTTAATTTTATCTGCTTTGATTTTGGATGATGAAGTTTTGGAATTCATTCCTCCTTTCATTAATTCCGGATGTATTCTATTCATTTGTTTTAAATATACTGTATATAAAGGTTTGATATACTTTCCCGCTTCGAGTTTATGTTGAAGGATGAATTCCAAAAGTTGATCTTCATTTAAAAGTCGGGCTGAATGTGGTTTAACTAATGAATCATAAATTAAAGCTTGTGCTTCATTTATGGTCTGAATGACCTGGGCGTTTTGCACTTTTAGCTTTTGTTCCTTTGTTTTTTGCAGCTCAGGATTATATAATTTATATAATTCATCAATATCTTCTTCTGTTAATACTTTATTTTTGAAATCTTTCAATTGTTTAAGTTATGATTTAGTTTTTCCCTTTGTATATTCATTATTTTTAATTTTGTCTTTAATTTTAGAAATTATTTTATCATGATATTTCAAAATTTCATTTTTATAATATGAATAATAATAATCCATATCATCACCCGTTATATTTTCATCATATTTTTGGAGATATGCTTTTAATTCATAATAAGTAAGAAAATTTTGATTAAATACTAAATCATCAATTAAAATTTTTAAATCTACATCATTCATTTATATAAAAATAAAATAAATGTTTTAAGGGCGCCCACCTCTTTGATCAAGAATCAAAACCATCATTAACGGTTCCTTTTGTCTCTTCTGTGGCATTTTATTAAAATTTTAAATTGTATTAAATAAACGGCATACAACATCCATTTTCACAACATACAGCCTTAGTGTGTGCTCCTGTTAATGCAGTCTTACCGATTGTTAAGCGAGTCATCGTCCTGTTTTTAAGTTGTAAATTAATATTCTGACCATCAAATATCACTTTATCATTTATTATATCCAAATAATTTTTAGGTGTTAATTGTTTATTTTGTCGTAAACTAACACCTTTCATTTTTTGTGCAATCTTTTTAAAATCACCTCCATCAATTGAACCGTTGAATGATGTATAACACTTGGGGCATAAAGCAACCATGTTATCACCTTGTTTCTCAATTGCTAAACCCAATAACTTCTTCTCATGTGCTTTTTCTTCAGCTTTATTCTTTAATTTAGGTTTAAATTTCTCATCAAAACAGAAGAAATCAAATGGTGCGAATTTGAAAATATTTTTATCATAAAATTGTTTATCGGTAACAATTGCTTGAAATGCTTGAGTGTTAGGAAGATTTGGATCACCAGCGATTGCCCAATAAGATGAATCAGTATCACCTTCAATGAAATGAAAACGATTAACATTCATGCATTTATACATAAAATCATAAATGAAAACCAAATACCAGTATTTAGCATTATCTAAAGTGAAGAATGCCTCTTGTAAACATGTATCACATCTATAAAATCTATCTTTGAGCATCACTTGATACGTATTTTCACCTATTTCTCTTATGTTTTTAAACTTATTTGACATACATGCAACGCGTGCCTTCTGTGCATTCATTATTTTAGTCTTTGTGTAATTTTGTGTATTCATTGCATCGTAACCATATGATCCATTAAGTGAAATCTTGCAAAATAAACTTTTTCCTTTATTTCCTTCTAATTCAGCCCTTTGTCTTTCGTTCATAAATTCATTCGCAAATTCATTAAAGCAAGTGTTTTTAGTAAATGTTAAAATTGATTGAATGTCATCGATGATAAAATGAAATCTGTCTATTAGATACCAAAGATAATAAGAAGAAAATGGTTGATATTGGTTGTGTGTTGATGCTAACTGAGTTAATTTTCTCTGTTTCTGGTCAACTGGTAGATTGTTTGATTTCATGTAATTATACATAAAACTGCCAATTGTTTTTTCATCTGTGATAATATCTAAGTTTCTTATTATCGGTAAAAAGTTTATGTAATCATTAATGTATTTTTCATCAATGTGACCCTTTACTTCAGCCACGAATAAAGTATTTTTCTTCTTAATTATTCCCAGTGCTTTTGCTTTCTTTGTTGCTGTATCACAAATGATAACACCATTTAATCTTCCCGGCATATACATTTTATGGTCAGTATATTGAATGAAATCATGAGGATTAGATGAAAATGATGAAGGATATAATGAATTAAAATCAACACCAACGAAATGAGTCATAATGTTGGAAGTGTCCTCATTTGATACAGTTTTAGTTTCTGGATTATATGAAAGTTTATTAATGTGCGTGATTCCTTTAAGATTTACTCTATGTTGAACATTTGATAGACCACCAGTAATTCCATTACGGAGAATGTGATAAGCTTCAACTGAATCTAAAGTCATTGGTAAATTATTTTTTAATGCGTAATTTCTTAAATTGATTCTTAAACGTTGAACATCTTCATCTTTATTTGATTTTACGACATTACAATAACAACACATTAACTGACAATTTTCTTTGGTATGTGGTTTTTCATTATCGATTCTATCCAATGTTGGTTTATTTGCATATGTAAACGCTTTACCACACATTTTGCATTTAGATGAAAGGATTAAATCGTGATAGTATTGAAAATCATTCATTGAAACATTATTTTTAGTATCTCATTCTGCTTTTTCATCTTGTTTCTTATATGATTCAATTTTATATTTCCAATACTTTTTCGTTAATTCAAAACTTGATTCTATCTCTTCCTCAGGATATTTTTCATTAGGATTAAAGTCTTTATATGCTAAAGCGTAACGAATCATTGAAGCATTCGATGATAAAGAAAGATTATGAAGCGTGTCAATTTTATAAACAAATGTTTCTTCAATAATTTTATCGATTGGGTCAATCATAATTTCAACATCTTTATTGCAATAATGAATAAAATATTCTAATCTATTCTTAAAGTTTTTAGCATCATTGAGATATATTTGATAATCACTATCTGATATAGTTTCTTGAGTTAATGCTGAATAAAATGAATCTTGAGTGAATGGTTCCACTTTATATAATTCTTCTTCGTAATTTTCCCACGTGATGAATTGATAAGGGAAAAAGGATTTAACACGTGATTTATTGTTTCCGAAATCTTGAGTGAATTGGTCTAATGTCCCACCCGCTATATAATTTCTGATGTCAATAAATCTTAATTCATATGGAACGTTTGTTTTCTTTACAATGATTTGCTTAAATTGTGAAGATGAACCCAGCATTGATTTTATTTTCCATTTTGCAGTGTTTAAATCATGAAGAATTAAATTTAAATCAAACTTTCCCGAATTAAAACCTATGATATTCACTTTATTGAATTCCTCATCTAGAAGTTCTTTAAATGCTTCCTTCTGTTTTTCATTTAATGTATGAGTCAAAGTCCCCGCCGTTTGCGGCTTCATTAATTCATTGTATTGTTCAATATTTGATTTAGCAACTAATGAACAGGTTGAAAATAAAAACTCAATCCAATCAGAAATAAAAGAATCACTCGAAGTTAAGCAAAAATTCCTCGTATATGTTTTATCATTTAATTTAACCGTTGATGATACCATGAATGGTTTTAAGTAAGCGTTCAAAGTTGCACACTCAGAAAGTTGTAATTCTTCTTTAGTCTCTAATGTTTCAAAGTCAAAAGTAATATAATATCTTGTCGGTTGATAATATTCCTGCAAATTATGAGCTAATAACCACTGATATATCTTCTGTTTCGTAATATGTGGTGCATATGGTTGCTGGGTCTTTTGCAATTGAACGTCTTGAATTAATCTTCCATTATTTTCTTTACATTTCTCACAATGCTTTAAAAATCTTCTTTGGTTTTTCCTTTCTGGATCATCACGGATAGAATAAACTTCTTCTTTACAATATGGACAAACTTTATAGCCGGTGAGTGCTTCAACGTCTGTTATTCTGTCAGCGTGAAGTTTTCCACATGGACTCTGTGTTAATAAAATATTTACTGTTTCAAATTCTGGATCTATCATTATTGATTCCACTAATGGAAAGTCTACCTTATTTATGTCCACGTCTTCTGGTTGAGGATCACAATAATAGAAATCAATATTAACATTTAACATTCTCGCTAATCTCTCACTTTCTGATGAAATGTCAAACCCTTCATATGCATCTATTGCTTCATTTAAATAGCTTCTACGAGTTTTAGGATTAACACCATCAGGAATGTTATAGAAGCGTTTAAATAACCTTCTACCTTCTGCTCTAATTTGATTATCATTCATTTTAGCTGTTCCGTTTTTGTTCATTTATGTAAGAATAAAATATCAAAAAATAAATAAAAATAAAGTTTATTTTTATTAAAGCCCATAAAATGAATTAAGAACACATAAATTTTTATCATCCGCGACGTGACGAATACATTTTAATTTACTCAAGAATGTGTACCCTGATACATTAAATCTAATTCCTGTCTTATTTAATTTCACAACTTTGAAAAGGAATGTATGAATAGCTATAAAATGATGAGAAGATGTTTTATGGGTTGCTTCCATTTTTTCTGAAATAAATGAATAAATATAATGCTTATACGTTTTCATATCTTCAATGTTCTTAATAACGAATGGTATAGACCTTTCCACTTCATCTTCCTTCGGTGCTGTTCTTTCATATGAAACATTATTGGTATCTTCAATAATGAAACCACAATCACACAAAATTTTATAGGTTCCAATGGTTTCTTTTGATATTTTATCTAATAAATCAAAAACTTTATCAACACCTGTGCATTTATTTAAATAATAATTTGTGTAAATATCATGATCTTCTTTCTTAATCGTATTAGTTGCATATGTCACGTTTTTAAGAGCTTTTTTGAATTTTTCGGAATCTAAAGGTGATGAAAGTAGGATACAGGGGTATTCTTCATTATCAATAAATTGTAACTTATGTTTACGAATAAATTTAGTACCTTCTGCTGAAAGTGTTTCGTCTATTTCACCATCTAATAAATTTTGTGTTGATTCTGAGACATAATTTTTATATCTTTCTTCATGAGATTTCTGAACTTCTGATTCTGAAGCTGGGATATTCATTAAACCCTCTACTTCATTTTCATTATATTTTTCAACTTCTCTTAATTCCTTAATTTTTTCATCTATTTCATCTCTTATTTTTTCCAGTCTTTCAATTTCATCATATTCATCATCTTTAATCCGTTCTTCATAATATTCAGGGAAAACATCAGGTTCTTTAGGTTTTTCTTTTTTAGATGCGGGATATAAGAAATTTATAACATCATCTTTATTCATTTTTCCATCATAATCAAAATCATTTAAGAACTCCGCGAATTTTTTACAATTTCTTAAATAATATTTATCAACTTCATAACCCGCCTCCTCTAATATATTCTTTATTTCCCCGTTTGTGAATCCCAATTTTTTAACGTTGTTAGTTTTGACGCTCATTTCATACAAAATAAAAAAAATAAAATAATAAACATAACTAAGTTTTAATTTTTCGTAAGACATTAGTTTCAATTTATTTTTACCCGTTTATGAGGTCTTTGATTATGACTCCATTGATTCCATTCATTTTTAAACAATGTTTAATTAATCGTGGAATATCTGACATCATCTATATATAACTTCTTTTATAAATGATGAAAAATAAATTATTTTAAAATCAATGTTAATTTTTTTAATGATTTATTTCATTATGTATGGGCTGAGTGTAAATGTCTTACGATTTGAAATCCTTTTTAAATCTTGATTTATTCAAAAACGTAAGAATAAAAACCGTAAGAATCATACATTTTTTACTTCATATGTTAAAAAAAATGATACAAAATCGTTCAATATCGTATGAATTCTTACGTTTACAAAAAAAGTCACACAACCCGTCCATATATACTACTAATTCCACAATTTAAAGAATTTCTTGTCAAACTTGTAATCCAGTCATGCTGTAACATATGCATTCCAAAAAACTAATTCAATCAACCAGGTGCTGTTAAGTGGCCACTTTTTGGTTAAATTAAAGGTCATTTTCTATCATTCTTTGGGTAATGTATTTGTTTCGGATTAAAAAGCAATATTCTTGTTTATTTACTATAGAATAGTTCAAAAGAAATTTATTTTCTTGGCTGTCACTTTTTCTGATTAGTTCGGATGTCTGAAGACATTGAGTATTGCTTGTATGTCAAAAACATCCCTAGAAATGTTCAAAAGAACGACATAGAAGATCTTTTTTCAAATATAGCAGACATAAAGAAACTTACTGTATTAACTGATCCGACTACTAAAGCATTTAAAGGTGTTGCCTTCGTTTCATACGCAACAGAAAACGAATGCTTGAAAGCTATCCACGAATATCATAATTCAAAGCAATGGGGTAACATTATTAGCGTTTCATTCTCTGATAAAACAAAAGAAAGATTACCACCTAATGAAAAAGAAGCAATTTTATCGATGGCTGAAGATCTTAAAAAGAGATCTGCTCGCCCAAATCGTACTGACGAAGTTAACAAATCTCTTTCTTTTGTAGCACCAATTGAAATTATGCTAGGAAGCCTGGTTGATGCTGGCGAGAGGAGAGAGGATATTAAAGAAGAATTGTCCATGAGAATGCTGCCATTAGATCTGAAAGAAGTTGATGAACTTCTCTTTAACTTATTAGAACGAGTAATGGCCAGAAGACAAAAGGCTTAATACTGTTCGATTATAATATAAATCTTATTAGGATATCTTTTTGTTATATTTTAATTTAATTATTTATTTGTAATTGAATAAGAAATTTAATGTTATTCTATAGATTCATCGTTACAAATGTCAAATAAAGCTAATAATGTTTGAAGAAGTTCTTCATTTTTACTACCCTATAATTTTATGAATATGGCACTTTTCGTCGATTTTCAAAGAATTAAATCGCTTCTATCTCAATAACTAATAAACATATAAGATTTTTGAAAGTATATATATAGTGTACTACATCTCAAGATATTATTAATATGTATTAGAAAGAATAATATATTGGATTTTGATATCACAAAATGACTTTTCAATTTATTGTAGTTCCTCACAGAGTTGAGATTCTACAAAATTCTTTGCAGATAATTTATGAAGGGATGATAGACTAACGAACTATAGATACATGAATTGAAAATAAAAAAATCGATTAAATATGAACCTTCATAAACCGTTTAAGAAACTTAAAAACTATTCTTTATTGTTTATTTTGGACGAAGTTTAATATGATTGTGGTTTTATTGGACAATAATCGAGTAACGGAAAAATATAACATTTATCTATAAAGTGAAAATTTAGAGGTATATTTCGTAAGATATTTCCTCTCTGATTACAAGAACTATTGTGAGCTATCAATCTAATGAAAAAGAGCAGATTTGGCCGTAATGAAAATGCAATACTTCGAAAATCAATGCAAAAAAGATTAATTTGTTAGAAACAATCGACTATGACACTGAATTCTAAGAGCAAACGTTTACATTAGGATATTTTGATCATTTCCAAATATTGCAAAATTGCATTTAAACAAGTTAAGGAGAATACTATATTAACCGTGTTGTAAGGAAATATAACAATTTTAAAGATTTTGCGACAGAATTTGAAAAAATATGAAAATCAGATATATAAAAATTGAATAAAATAACATTATGATGGAATATAAGTAGATGAGCTATTAATGCTGCTATGATTTAAAATTGAGTAGTAATGAAATAGAATTTCGATTAAAAAAATTAATGTAATCGTATGAAAGCTTTGATCCAAATAATTAATATTCGCAAATATTTTAACCTACTAATAAAATTCTGATTATATTAAGATATTTTAAAAATGAGATTCCAAATTGAATGGTGATGGAGATGAAAATTTTTAAAAATATAAATAAGAGGATAAATTGATTGAGATATTAACTAGTAAATATTTGAAAAAGTAAATTATTTGAAATCCTTTAAAAATGTTACGGATAAAAGCTATATAAATAAAATGACTGGTGTGGTTGGTTAGCTTAATGTGTAATATCAAAAAGAATTAATGGGTGTTGTGAAGTGAGCAACTTTGAGAAGAATCATTTGTGATTCTTGTCAAAGTTGAATCAAAGACAACAATTGATAGACAATTGTTGTCTTTGTGTACAACATTCACTTGAATTATAAACAATAACAAGTGTTTGTTGTTCACTGAGCAACTTTGAGAAGAATCATTTGTGATTCTTGTCAAAGTTGAATCAAAGACAACAATTGATAGACAATTGTTGTCTTTGTGTACAACATTCACTTGAATTATAAACAATAACAAGTGTTTGTTGTTCACTGAGCAACTTTGAGAAGAATCATTTGTGATTCTTGTCAAAGTTGAATCAAAGACAACAATTGATAGACAATTGTTGTCTTTGTGTACAACATTCACTTGAATTATAAACAATAACAAGTGTTTGTTGTTCACTGAGCAACTTTGAGAAGAATCATTTGTGATTCTTGTCAAAGTTGAATCAAAGACAACAATTGATAGACAATTGTTGTCTTTGTGTACAACATTCACTTGAATTATAAACAATAACAAGTGTTTGTTGTTCACTGAGCAACTTTGAGAAGAATCATTTGTGATTCTTGTCAAAGTTGAATCAAAGACAACAATTGATAGACAATTGTTGTCTTTGTGTACAACATTCACTTGAATTATAAACAATAACAAGTGTTTGTTGTTCACTGAGCAACTTTGAGAAGAATCATTTGTGATTCTTGTCAAAGTTGAATCAAAGACAACAATTGATAGACAATTGTTGTCTATGTGTTCGATAAACATGTGTTATTTATGAATATACACGTGTTTGTTGTTCACTGAGCAACTTTTAGAAGAATCATTTTGTAATACTTTGAAACACAAAATAGCATATTATGCTTTTATTTATCTATATGTGTCATTTTGGGAGACATTGTCTATGCAAGTCTCCCAGAATGACACATTCATACACAATCTTCTTCTGATTGTGTATCTTTTGTCAACAAAGTGCAACAGTGCACTGTTATTGTGTGCTATGTGTCATTGTGGGAGACATTGTCTATGCAAGTCTCCCAGAATGACACATTCATACACAATCTTCTTCTGATTGTGTATCTTTTGTCAACAAAGTGCAACAGTGCACTGTTATTGTGTGCTATGTGTCATTGTGGGAGACATTGTCTATGCAAGTCTCCCAGAATGACACATTCATACACAATCTTCTTCTGATTGTGTATCTTTTGTCAACAAAGTGCAACAGTGCACTGTTATTGTGTGCTATGTGTCATTGTGGGAGACATTGTCTATGCAAGTCTCCCAGAATGACACATTCTTCTCAAATGTTCTTACACTCTATTAAAACTATTCATAAATACAATTTCAATCTTATCCTCATTTTTTTCCTATTACACGTATCGAATCCCAACCTACTGAAACACTTATTCCTCACAATCATTCGCAAATTTTTCTAATCTATGTTTTCTCAACTATTATCCTTTACCTTCATAACAGCATTTAAATATTCCTAATGAAATTTCATATTTTCCTATTAAATACTAATTTACACAAAAATGGTTTTATCAAATCTTTATGAAGTTATTAAATTCCAGATTATATTGCTTACTTTGCAAGCTAACTATAATATAGTGTGATAGCCTTATTGAACTTTGATCAAATACTCCGTCGTCCGTTAAAAATTAAGATGCGTTTAAAAAATCGGAAAAAAATTCTTTTGTTTTATTTTTAATTTTTCAACCGATAAAACTTTTTAGAAAAACTCCAAATTCCAAGAAATGCTTAGATTCAATATGAAGAACATATTCATACAGTCATTTCGTTTCAAATTTCAATTTTCAAATTGAACAAAGCTGCAAATTTGAATACTTTACAAAATTTTGAAACGTCTTTTCCCGAATGAATATTGAGTTTCAAGCCGAACAAGCTATAGCAAAACTGATCCTTATGACCCACTCTATCATTTTGGTTTTTTTTTGCAAAACGTGGGTAAACCCATCTCATAACACATTTTTTGCAAAATTTGGTAAAATCCGTGTAAATGCTCAGATACATGTGGCCAATAATATTTGAATACTGACAGGTCCGGATATTAGGTTTAAATAGCTGATTTAATTCGAAATATGAAAAAAGATGAAATCTCAATGTAATATAGTAAATTAAGAATCAGTATGAATGGTTATATGATTTTGATAAAAGAAAACTGAATGAAATAGAAAAAAAATTTGAATCTTAGAATTTGAAAGTAATGAAAGAAGAAAAAGTGGATTTAAAGGAGGTTTTATGATAAGGTATTGTCGGGTATTAGAAGTAAATATGTTGAAGAGAGATATTCAGTTAATATGAGACAAAATTAAAACAAGAATTGAAGATTGTGTATGAATGTGTCATTCTGGGAGACTTGCATAGACAATATCTCCCACAATGACACATAGCACACAATAACAGTGCACTGTTGCACTTTGTTGACAAAAGATACACAATCAGAAGAAGATTGTGTATGAATGTGTCATTCTGGGAGACTTGCATAGACAATGTCTTCCAGAATGAGACAATCTTCCGCAATTAGAATACGATTGCGGAACTTCGACCGACAAGAGTGCATTATGCACTTTTCGTGTTTTAATTTTGTCTCATATTAACTGAATATCTCTCTTCAACATATTTACTTCTAATACCCGACAATACCTTATCATAAAACCTCCTTTAAATCCACTTTTTCTTCTTTCATTACTTTCAAATTCTAGATTCAAATTTTTTTCTATTTCATTCAGTTTTCTTTTATCAAAATCATATAACCATTCATACTGATTCTTAATTTACTATATTACATTGAGATTTCATCTTTTTTCATATTTCGAATTAAATCAGCTATTTAAACCTAATATCCGGACCTGTCAGTATTCAAATATTATTGGCCACATGTATCTGAGCATTTACACGGATTTTACCAAATTTTGCAAAAAATGTGTTATGAGATGGGTGTTTACCCACGTTTTGCAAAAAAAAACCAAAAATAGAGTGGGTCATAAGGATCAGTTTTGCTATAGCTTGTTCGGCTTGAAACTCAATATTCATTCGGGAAAAGACGTTTCAAAATTTTGTAAAGTATTCAAATTTGCAGCTTTGTTCAATTTGAAAATTGAAATTTGAAACGAAATGACTGTATGAATATGTTCTTCATATTGAATCTAAGCATTTCTTGGAATTTGGAGTTTTTCTAAAAAGTTTTATCGGTTGAAAAATTAAAAATAAAACAAAAGAATTTTTTTCCGATTTTTTAAACGCATCTTAATTTTTAACGGACGAAGGAGTATTTGATCAAAGTTCAATAAGGCTATCACACTATATTATAGTTAGCTTGCAAAGTAAGCAATATAATCTGGAATTTAATAACTTCATAAAGATTTGATAAAACCATTTTTGTGTAAATTAGTATTTAATAGGAAAATATGAAATTAGATTAGTCAAACATATAAATTGTTATTATATGAAATGATAACAATTGATAAAACATACAGATTGGAAGATTAGGTGAATTTTTGTGATGAATAGGTGTGTTTGTATGTAATGCCTCTATAGTATATTCATAATAAAAATTAGTATACTATAAAAACTTGATTTGAGAAGAAAATTAATGTGGAATAAGAAGATTGTAGAGAAACGTCTCATTC